CCGTCACGATGCCCAACAAACTGTCCAACTCCAAGTGATCTGTTGTGTAACGTACGAGAGGTTCAGCTTCATGACTAAGCTAGTGTTCAACGACATTTTATTGGATCTACATGTGTTACGCATTTTAAACCCTATTTATATGAGACTACCAGGACCGTCCAGTTAGTAGTCCAGTCGTCACAAACAGATCATTATTCAAACTAAAGAGAGATCACTGGTCATACTTGAAAGAATTGTGATGTTAATTCCAATCATATACGAAATGATGTGTACTGACATTTTTAATAATCACAAACATTACGCTTGTTCTATAATGATACATACAGACAGCTGCTCCATATCTTAAGGATACCGACAAAATCATAAGTATTCAATGCGCAGAACTTGGGTTAATGAAAGATCCTTTTATGAGTAGCAAATAAGATACCTGAGTGATTTCTCCTAATCCGCTCGTAGAACGCAAGATAACCTTATGTTCGTATTGCAGCTGACCAAATACGTCGTAACGAAGATAGTGATGTTATCTTCAGTCTTCAGTAATAAGGATAGTAGGTTGGTGAACCTGTGTTAATCCTAACAGATTGCCTTCCAGTGATTGTCCAGTTTCTCCTTGAAAATATTCACTGATGGGGCTGATACCACTTGTTCGGGCAAGGCGTTCCAATCATTGACTACTCGATGAGAAAAACGGAACCTCATGGTTTATGAACCTTCTTGCTATGACCTCGGAGATTATTAGTGCTGGAGGGAGCAAAAAGATAAGACATATTAACACCCAAATCATAATTAAAGATAAGAAATGCCAGTATAAGGTCACCTCGAGTCCTACGATACGACAAGGGAAAAGGTTTAGGCGTTTTAAACGCTCACCGCAAGGGAGTTTAGAGAGACCCTTCACTAATTCCGTTCACACACGCTGGACACGCTCAGGTATGTTAGCATCCTTTACCAGACATGGGCTAGCTGCTTGGATACAGTACTCTAAATGTGGTCTTACATAAGTGGGATATAAAATTTGAAACATTTCCTTGCCAAAAAATTTGAATGGTCCGCGAAGTGACCATAACGCACAAAAACCTTTGACAGCGGCTACGTTGCAATGCATAGTTGTTTTTAGGTCATGACTTATCATTACTCCTAAGTCTTTATGTTCTTGAAAGAAGAGGCTCACCATCAATAGTATAACGGTAACTATTGCCATGACCGATGTGCATTAGCACACTCTTCCTAGAATTGATTTCTAAACCCCAATCTCGAGCCCATCTAACTAAATCCTTTAAGTCAGCTTGAAGATCCAGATGATTAGCCTCACTTCTCATTGTTCTCCAGATTTTAACATCATCCTCAAATAATAATGTCGACGACCTAAGCAACAGAGGTAACTCATTTACGTAGAGAAGGAAGAGCAGAGAGCCTAATATGGTGCCTTGGGGTACACCACTTTTGACCGGCTTCCAATCGGATAGCGTCCCATTGACCCTAACTCTCTGTCTGCGATCACATAAAAAGTTTCCTATCCACTCCTGTACATTACCTATTATTCCGAAGCTTGTGAAACCTTGTCAAATGCTTTGCTAAAATGTATGAATATAACATCGACAGACAGACCTTTATCTAAGGCTGCTGTCCATTCCTCTCTCGCAATAAGTAAGTTAGTCAAACACGAACGCTTGTAACGAAATCCATGTTGCTTATGAGCTAACAGATTGTGTGAATCTATGTGGCTTAGCAACCTAACCCGAATTATCTTTTCAAGTAGCTTAACGACAATGCTAGTCAGACTGACAGGCCGGTAGTTAGATACGATCTGTCTCTGATCATCCTTAAATATAGGACTGACAATAGCATCTTTCCAATCCCTAGGGAGTTGAGCGAGTGAAAGGGACATGTTGAAGAGTGTCGCGAGCGGTTTTGAAATAATGTCCACAAGAGATGACAGCAGTCGTGGATGTAACCCGTCAGGACCCGGTATCTTACAAGGTTTGAGGTTAATTATCAACGGAAGGGTAGTTTCTTCAGTCACCTGTACAGATTCAATGGCTGGTATCTCGGCGTGATTGGGACAAGTATTTGTTACAATAAACGTAGATTAGACTTCGCTAAAGTAGTTTGAAAATGTCTCAGCTTTGGCTCGATCTGATTCAGCTAGTAAATCTGAATTATCGTGTAACAATAATGGGGGAATACTATCACTACGTTTTATTTGCCGTTTAACATACGAAAACAATCGTTTTGGACAAGTACGTTCGTAAGTAGTACGGGATTTAGCTATTGTTTTCTTACAAATATACCGGAGTTTTTGGTACTCACGCTTAAATGATGCATGACCTGTCAACAGGAATAAGTCCCAGATGTGTTTCCTGCGCTTGAACAGCTTTCGGGTTTCCTTATTAATCCATGGAGGGCAATGCGATAGCTTACGTGCTGACCATGGGATAAACGGCGACGTTACGGACTCGAATGTAGCCTTAAACTCAATCCATTCGTCTTCGATCGATCCGTCTGCGTCAACCGACCAATCAGTAGAGATCGCACAGTCTCTGATTGCCGGAATATTAGCCCGCCAGATATTGGGACGGGGTGGAGCAGATACAAATCGTATACGATGTGTCCTAAACTTAAAGTGAAGTACAACGTGATCACTATTCACTAGTGGAGGAAGGTGCTGAATATCAAAGACATTCTCACAGGGGTGTGTGAGGGCGAGGTCCAGCAGTGACGGATCACGTTTCAAATCAATATGTGTCGGTTGTGTGATACATTGGACAAGTGCGCACTGAATAACGGTTGATAAAAGTTCGCTATCGAAACCTCAACCTGGAGCTGTAAGCTCTATCCAGTTTATGTGTGGTGCGTTGAAGTTCCCAATAATGAAACAACATTCTGCCATACTCCAAGAACAGATATGTCTTAGGATAAAGTCGTTAGCAAGACAACACGGACTACGGTATATTCCGCCTATAGTCACTAACTTATTTCTAGATTTAATCTTACAACATGCTACCTCACATGTACCACTGACATGAGCCTCCGATATGATTGATTGTATACGAAAGTGATCCCTAATATATAACATTATGCCTCCCCCCTTGCGACTTAAAACTCTAACACTTCTAACACAGATATAGCCTGCAATGATGGGAGAACATTCTATATCTACATTGAACCAAGTTTCTGTAACAACAATTATATCGGACTTAATTACTCCCACCATCAGACTTAGTTCGGACGTTTCATTCCTAAGACTACGGGCGTTAGTGTAGCACACACTTAAGGTGTTTTGGTAATCATTCGTTTTACCCATACAGGCCTTGGAAGCATTGGCTTCCAAGACCTGACTACCCGAAAACCCTTAATGGTAAGGTTAGTTTAATCATTTAACTTGCGAGTTCTCAACTCCGTAAGAGCATTCTTCTACTTGATTCGATCCTTAAGCGGCCGATCTGGTCGGATACAAATATTTGAATCATGAATTTTTTGTGCGTGTTTCAATAATATAACTCTTTCTTCAAGATCCTTCTTGGTTGGGTCTCGCCTCCAACCCTTTTATTGAGTCATATCACTTTCGTGATATGTACTCCTGAAACCTCTTCAGGTAGTATGTTTCTTACCACGGATTCTACTAACTTCAGATCATGTGCATGTCTCTTAGCAGAGTCGTTGTCTATCGACTCCTCTAGATTCCAAATAATTAAACTGAGGAGTGGTTCAGTTTCTTTTGGAATCGTGTTTACAGCTATCGATCGTGACCTTACATCCTGTATATTAACTACTGGTATCTTACGATTAGTTTTTATTGTAACAGAGTCATTGGAGTCGAGCGAGTGACTCACAACAATGTTTGAAGAGGCTTTACTTTTGAACTTTGGCGGAGTAGTCTGAGAGTCTACCAAGGACTTAACAAGTAAACGGGCATTAATTTTAGCTATCTTTTCTACTCTTCTGCGTTTCCGCGTCATCCATTTCCGTCAATTGTAGCACCTACATTAGAACTACCTAGCACAGTAATTGTTTTGTCTGGATCAGCGGTCGCTGCTGTAGCAACTTGGCCAAAAATATCTAATAACGTGTCACTCATTGATTGTTTCGGGGTAGAAATTTTGGTTTTGGGTTGCACAGTTAGATGTCTGACTTGCGCTGTGACAGCACTTACGACACTAATGCAATCTTCTCCATCAGTACCAATGTTGCCAGTACCGCCCTCATCAACCTTCTTATTAGCCAATCCCAGGAGGCTAATTGCTTCCTAGATGAGTGCTGTTTTGCTCGAGCAACAAAAACTACAAAGCCAATAAGAGTTGGGCTTCGAGCACCTTTTATATGCAGAGGGGCTTGGTCGGGTGCACATCTTGTGGAACCACTTATTACACTCGTCACATTGCATCCTTTCCTCCACTGGTAATAAGCAATATGGTTGTCCATATTTATGAGCAGATTTGGCCATCTTGAAAACCAAATACAATGGTGATACAAACAGGATATGTAAAACAATATTAAAACCTTGACTAAATATATCAAGTAAAAGTCGACCAAGTATGCTTTGATGAAATAAATACACAAAAGCAAAGTCGAAACACTCAATACAATATCACCTTAACTGGAGTAGATTCAATTAAAGTGTAAACAGTAGTTTTGATGCGTAATTTACGATCAAAACAGTTAATTAACTCAACGAGAAACAATACCACTGTCCTTTTAGATAGCGCGCTAGATTCTGCAATAATAGTTTGAGTGTTATCATTAGTCATTGTTCCTTCTCTCTGAAGCTAATCAACCCCAATACTATCAGAAAGAGCTTCGGAAGCCGTAATCTCAAGGTTTAATTCTATTTTACGTATTAATCGGTCGGAGACTGAATGTTTCCTGTGAAGAATTAGTCGACAGTTTTAAAAGGAAACTGGACCTTCACATTATCATTTGCTGAGCAGACAAACGCTGGTCAGTCGATCAACTGTCGTAAATACCGAGGATTTCCCCAGATCATTTTCCTATCAATGATCAATCTTGAATGGGTTTGAAGATTGGCCCGCGTATTTAACACTTATTGGGAGGCTCACATTGATCTTGTGTGGATTCACTATGAAGTGTTTCTCAAAACTTTTGGTTCCAATTGGGATTGAAGTTATAAAGATAGTTGTTTATGCTTATGAGTATCTTACATGGCCACTGTACTACTTATTCAGCAAAACATTGAGATATATGCCTCTGCCCAACTCTCCTGTTGACAGCGACTGGACCTATAATGAGGAAGAAAGTCGGACTTTGGCACTTCCTGTACGTGAAGGTGATCCCGGTTCGCCTTGGAGAGCAGTTGAATCCCTCGATGGTCTGACAAGTTCACTTCCTGGATGTAATGATTTGGTTGATGTTTGGCTCCGCACAGTTAAGCTGTGGCCTGATTTGCCTGCGTTTGGAACAAGAGCTGTCCTACGCACAGACTACCGAGTAAGTTTCTTACAGAACGTTTTGGCCACATTATTTAAGTAGCTTCTCCAGATAAAGCAATGCAGCCAATATGGGTGTTGACAAACGTAGTGGACGGTTTTTGTTTACATGATTCTTTGATTGGTTAGTAAGTCGAAGACGTAACTGAAAAAAACTGTTCTTTGGTTCCTGCTGAAATGAGTTCTGAATTTCTGGATGACGGATTATACTAGCAATGTCAGAGTACCATCACCAAGAATACAAAGTATCACCAGAACGGACGACATAGCTGCCTAACCTGTCGCTCGATAAACTAGTTCGTTATATTATTATCCACTGAAGTTGATTCCGGCGACAGTATGATATATTAATTCCGAGTAACATTTGTAAAGGCCGAAAATTATTCGAATGAGCTATTGAAGCATGGACACACTCACTATGTGCCCCTATTGATTTTGAGTCTCAACATTATTTGATACGTTTTATACTACTATCTCATTCCTTTCAAAACCCTATAAATCATTTTTAGACTTCTTATCATTATTACTATGTCTCAAATTCTTTTCTATTCTATTTTTACCTTCTCTTTGCCATGTTCAAGTTGTGTGGGGATCAGACTACCAACCTACTACTAACATTACCTGTGAAGGTTTCCAGCGATTTAATCACTGAGTAGCAGTCACTCATTAATGTACAGGTCCTCACCAGTCACACCTCACTAAGCTAAATGTGTTTGATGAGACTGAAAAACAACAAAATCCTCGCTGTCGTAGTGTAGATCCACATTATTCTCACCGTTTTAGGCTGGTTTTATGTCTTTCTGTCTAATTAATTTGTTTTTGGAATGTCCCCACATATTCAGTAAAATAACAGTTTACATCTGTTGATGAATATCTTGATGTGAAGTACGTGCCACGAACGTTCGTCTGGTTATTTCTTTCATCAGTCTAAAAGCTGAACGTTCTATGTTTACTTCCAGTCATTCATAGTTGTATAAGTAAAACAAAACACCTGGTGCTTGCTAGAATTGTATATTCTATCTAATGGAAAGGTCATGAAGTGACATTGTTGCGAGTCTATGATTTCGTTCCCATATTAGTGTAAACCAAGCGATTCATTTAGTTTTCAGGGAATGTGAATTTTTACATGCTTCCGTGTCGAGTAATTAGTGTGTGTTTCCATTTTTTAGTGAGTATAATGATAAGTAGGTACTTCCCCATAAGAAGGGATTCATGTATTGTGTTTATTATATATATTCTTATCTCGTATGATTTTGTTCCACACTAGCCGAGTCCTGACGGACGACAAATGATTGAGCTCACTTTGGGTGAGTACTCTTGGGAGACATTTTGGGACGCTGAACGTCGAGTATCTCATCTAGCAGCTGGTTTGTATTCAATGTTGGGGTCCGTTAAGGAACACAATCAGCCCATCGCACTATGCAGTGAAACAAGAGCTGAGTGGATGTTTGCTGCACAGGCTTGCTTTCGTCTCAACCGACCTGTTGCTACTTTGTACGCTACTCTTGGTGACGATGCATTGGTACATGGATTTAATGAAACTGAAGTCAGTCATTCGTTTCACTTATCAAATACATTTTTCACTGATTGCATTCATTTTACCTAGTTTATTGGCTCGTCTGACATTGTTTACATATTTCTGTGTTGACTTAGTATTTTTATCCACATTTTTAAAATTAGTCTACATTTACTATCAGATCCAACTGCAAAGTATTCTCTTTAGAATGACGTAGGTCAAGTTGTTCAATCCATTATCTAGATTGAGCTACAATGGTTAATGTTAAATCCTGGCTCAGGAAATGTCAAGTTTATCTTTTGAATGTAGATTGTAGCGATTTGATAGTCCGATGATGTGTCACTTAGTTAACTACGATACGTTAGTAGTTCAGGGTGCTTTAGACTAGATATAAGCTGGTGATAGCCAAGCTTAGTTAATTGTAATATAAGCAATAACTGCTAAAAATCACTTCCATCTTCATTTACTAACTTTGGTTCTTAACGTCAGGTTCTTGAGAATATATTCGGTGGGTTATTTTATTTATTTATCATTTATTTGAACACATTAATATTGGCACAAGCGGGTACCAAATATATATGCGCCACACAGAATTTTATTTGTGTGTGGGCTGTGATACTGCCTGGGTGCCCAGACCGAAACAGGTGGTTTTCTTCGGGGGCCACACCCCGAGCTTTCGACCTGAAGGTCTGACCCACAAGGCAGTGGAGCATTGTGAGGAGATGCAGTCCCATGGTAGCCGGTGACCGACAATTGGTTCATATGCCATTTGTTCCCTCAAGATACTGGAACCCATGTGCACCATTAGTTTGGGATCCGGTTAAAGCTCCGGACATTCGCTCTTTGTCCTCTCATTTTCGTAAACAACACCCCCGCCACGAGAAGGCAGTGAGTAGGACTTCTCTGGCAGAGGCTGTATATGCGTGGCCGTGTAAGAGCATTTCGAGAGGGAGAGCGGACTCTCCCTACTCTCGGCCATACCAGGGCATTCGGTAGGTTACGGTGAAGGTAACCAGTAAATATGACCAACCATAGTTAGGCTAAGAAAAACTGGTTGAATAATTTTTAATAGCTGGTGGCGGCAATCAACACAGTTTGATTATAATAAACAATAAATCCAGGGTGTTCTTGTTAGTTGAATGTTGACTACTCAGTCACTATTTTACGATCCATGTAATTATCAGGGGAGGGGGAGTTGAAAGTCTTGGCAATATAACTCGACAAAGTTCTTAATCAGTATGTTCATCCCTGTAAATGTTATTTTTGTCTCTAATATATTTTACACATTCAGCACTCCATCATAGAGTTAGTTCTTCAGTACGCCTAACTTGATCTTCGAACTTTAACTACGTATATTAAAGTATCTAGTTTGATGTAGCACATTTTCCGATGCATGATTGTTCCAAGTGTTTCATCAAGCTATAGGTCCGAAACATTTGTTGATTACAAAGAGTAACAAATGGAGTTCTAAATGATACGAAGGAGTAGCATGGTACAAAATGTCGTTCGTCACAGTTACTATATGACATAAACCATGCTAAGGTTACGTGAGAATGTTCGTTAGCAATTTAGGCTGTTTTGATTCTGTCTTAATCTGACTTGTTGGTTACTTTTTCACTCACCCATAGTTTGGTGAACTGCACGTAGTTTCTGTTCTAAATTAGTTTCACTCACTAAATTGATGTGTCCTCTTTCTACATGATAATAGTCGAATGGTCAAGTTTGCAGGTAACACATGATGAAAGTACGGTAAATAGGAGAATAGTTATTTACGGGATTCAGCGAGTGGGTTGCTGGTTGGAAACCCACTATACTTTAGCTTTGCAACCTAGCAGTGTCACTATCGTTCACACTGTCAGTGTGGAGTACTTTAACTTATTTGTACGTCATAAATGAATAATCTAATTGTATCAGCTCTCTGAGCAGGCTAAGAGGGTGTAGCTGGAACCATCGTATAATGTGTTACATTCGCTGGGATTGTCTAACAACGATAATATTTCAGCTCCTCAGCTGTCCAATGATTATCATTACGTTTTTACCTAATAACTTGATGATCGTTCTTATTGCTTGTTAGTGATTCTAATCAACCATCATCTCGTAACCTCAATTTGTATAAACATGTTTTGCATATTCAATAAGAAGCTTTATGTGTGGACTTTATTTTAATCTCAGGCTGTGGTCGTGTTCACAAGTGATGAGCTCTTATCAAAAGTGATTAAAATTGTTCAAAAATGTCCTTTAATTCAACGTATTATTTACTTCACAAATGGAGTTTTTAATCGAGAACTTTACACAGAAGTTGACAACCTCGCTGTTCCGTCTGAAAGTGCTACCGCCAGTGTTGCAGAAGCCCTGACAAAATGTCCGTCAAATTTACATTTACACAATATAATTGAAGTCGAACGTTTGGGAGCTGCAGTAATCATGAAAGATAGAGAAAAGCAAAAAATGAATGGTTCCACACCAATTACAGGGAATAATAATCACTCATCAAACGGTTATGAGGGTTTATGGATGCCTCCTGCATCAGAACGTGCCAGTCCCTCGGATTTAGCTGTGATCATGTACACAAGTGGATCAACAGGTACAGTTTCTTGGCGATTTCGGTGTTTTCACTTATCCATTGATTTTAATGAACCATTATAATTTTCTTTGTAGCTTATTTGTACCTATCGAATTCTTCAGTTTATTAATTTTTGACTATGCATATAAATGTATGGACCTTGGAAATATACCAACAAGCTGTTTGCCTGTATTCTAAAAGTTGAATTGTAGGTAGAAAAGTGATTTATTCCCTGTACCTGAAAAGTATTAGTGACAAATGTTACTCTGATATTAATCCTGAAAGTTGCGTATATAGGAACCAATTATCATGTTCTGTGCATTTGTCATGTATATGATAACATTTTATAGAACAGGCTTAGGTGATTACTTTGTTTAGAAAACTATATTTCAGTATTTTGAACACTTAAATCTCCATCACCCGAATCATTTATTAACCACATTCCCACATATTTAAACCTTATTTAACTATGTGGATCGGAAGTCTTGATCAATATATACCCACTTGCTCTTCGATATTTGAAGAACCCCAATTAGCCTTTGTTCCATAAAATGTCTAGTTTTGAGTTTTGCTAAGACTTTTACTTGGCAACAAGACAAGTGTTTTAGACTGGTAGTATAAATCATGCAACCTATTATAATAATGCTTATTTCTCTGTTTACATTATTTTCTGAATTTCCTTATTCACCGTATTGTTCATGTGTTATTACCTAAAATAGTCTCTACGTCGTCTGTTTCTTGTAAATTACTATAGTACTCATCTGTTGACATAAAACCAAACTATTTCTCATGGTACTAACTTTTCAACACATTTTCTTACATTTCTGTTTCGTGAGCCCATTAGATCGCTCTCAATGGCACTATTAGTTGATTGCTGATAAAACTCCTGAAATAACTGTGAATGTGTGACTGAAATTGTATTTTATTTATTTATTTATGATATAACCACTTTAAAAGTTTCGTGCTACTTTTTTGAAACATGTAACAAGGACTATAGTATGTTTGCCACTGCCCTGTATTTTGACCGAAATTGGATAATGTTCCAAGCTAATTAATTGCTCAATCTCCAGGACCGCTCCCACGAGATTGTGATAGCCCAACATATTTTAGTTTTATACAGGCTCTTTGTACCCACTAAACTAACTTAAGAATTGAACAACCCTTGGTTGTTTTCTGATTCTATCCTACCTATTTTTATAATCTACACTATAATATAATTTGTTACTTATCAGATAACTAACAAAAATAGCAAACAGCTCAATTAATTTACCACTCCTTATTTTTATGATATTACTCCCTATTCTTGCATCCCTTCCTCGTTTTAAATGAGCAAAACCTATTATAGTAAGATAATTGCTGCTCATCAATTCAAGTTTGCATAAACACTGGTAAAACTGAAGTATAAAAATTAATTTCACAGTTTTATCAGCAATGAATTTATTGATTCCATTTTGTTTGAGCTAATAAGCGATCAAACGTTCATACAACAATGAAAAATATTACCAACATTAGTATAAAAAAAAATTGAACACATAAATATTGGTACAGAGGGGCACCAAATATATATGCGCCACACAAAACACTGATAATTTGAAGAGAAGGAGAAAAGAGAAAAAAAAAGTAATGAACGTGGGGAATTATAAAAAAAAGGGAGAGAGAGAGAGAGAACAATGGTGGGGGAAACGGAAAGGTACAATCAGAAGAGATCTTTCAGTTAAGGAAGATATAAACACTTTTTATGAAGAAAGTAAGAGGTTACAGCACGATCGCCACTGGCTTCTATTCTTGGCCATATCTGATAACGTCTCTAGCCACTGCGTTACACCGTCTCTCGGACCCCAGCCAGGGAGTCGTGGAGGACCAACAGAAGCTAGCCCTTTGCAGCTTTCTTTCATACCACGACACCATGTCATATACTGACCACCTCTCCGCTTTTTCCAACCAGTCCCAGAGTCGGCAAATAATGCACGACGTGGAATTCTCTGGGACTACATTCGTAGAACATGTCCAAGCCACCGAAGTCGGTGTTTCAAGATGGTGACACCAATTTCATTATCGTCTCTGTGACCGAACACTCGATGCCGAACCTCTGCATTACTGACATGGTGTTGCCACTGGATGCCAGCAATCCTTCGGAGACAACGATGATCGAACACAGAGAGTCGTCTAACATCCTCAGCTCGGAGAGGCCAGGTTTCACAAGCATAGAGCAAAACTGCTCTCACCGTCGCGTTGTAGATCCGACCTTTTACAGCCAGACTAACATCACGAAGGCGCCAAAGATGGCCCAGATTGGCATAAGCCGCTCTGGCTTTCACTATACGAGCATTGATCTCATCACTCACACCACCACCAGCACTTATGCAGCTACCTAGATACACGAACTTCTCGACTACTTCAATCTGCTCACCATCCAGAGTGAGTACAGGATTAGAATCCTGCCAGTCTTGTAGAAGTACTTTGCACTTCGAAGGTGCAAAGCACATACCATACCTACGGACATTGATTGCCAACTGATTAAGTGCGGATTGCATAGCTTGGGCATTCTCGCACAGTAAGACAATATCATCCGCATACTCAAGGTCGAGAAGTCTTTCTCCAGGCAACAGATCCACACCACCATTACTTACATCCGTCAGAGCTGTTTCCAGAATGTCATCGATGGCAAAGTTGAAGAGGAATGGTGAGATTGGGCAACCCTGCCTAACCCCACTGCTTGAATGGAATAACGGAGAAAGGTGGTTGTATGCCCTCACTCTGCCTGAGGTGTTTGTGTATAGGGCTTTTAGGATGTTAATAAACTTCTCAGGCACACCCTTCTTCAATAGACAATCCCAGAGAACAGTTCTGTCCAACGAATCGAAGGCAGCCCTGATATCAAGAAACACTACGATTGTTGGCCTTTGATAAGTATGGCGGTGTTCTAACACTTGGCGGAGGGTGAAGATATGATCAATACATCCTCGACCAGAACGAAACCCAGCCTGCTCCTCGCGAGCCAATCCTTCTCGGGTCCTGAACAACCTACGAAGTATGACGGAAGCCAATAGCTTGGACGCAATCGGAAGTAGACTTATCCCCCGATAGTTGTTACAGGAACAACGTGAACCCTTTTTAAAGATAGGGACAACTATCGACTCATTCCATGACGTTGGTACACTCTCTACTTCCCAGATCTTTGTAAACAACGTCGTCAGTCCCTTAGTCAAAAAGTCACCACCATCTTTAAAAAGAGCCGGAGGTAAGTCGTCTGGGCCCGGTGATTTGTAACGTTTCAAGAGTTGGAGTTCCTTGAGGACTTCCGCCTCATTTGGTGGATCAGTCGTCACCGGCCATGGAGGGCAGGACAGTCTGACCGATGTTGCCGGAGCAGCAGGCCAGTTGAACTGCCCTTCAAAGAATTCTGCCCATCGTCCAAGACGTCGATGGATGTTAGTGATTGGCGTTCCGTCATCCTCGCAGATTGTTTCGCTCACACCAAACTTCTTGCTGCCAGTGGCTCGGATGAGTTGGAAGAGCTTCCGGTAATTACCAGATGCAGCTGCTGCTTCCAACTCACTGGCACGCTCCGACCACCAGGCTTCATGGTCCTTACGCAAGCTTTGCCCGATTTCATTACGTAACATCCTTCGTCTGTGGTCAAACTCACGGTCACCCGGAGTAGACAGACGGGCTTCAATCAGTTGTAAGGAACCAGAAGAAACCCAGTGCTTGTAAGCGGGACGTTTCGCAAACCCACAACTGACTGTACCCGCCATTTTCATGGCGTCATGCAATTGCAACCAATGCTCATCTATACTTTTCGGTGGAATGGTAGCTAGCCTAGAAGCTAGCTCGGTTCGGTACTTACTAGCAACAGAAGTTGCAGCCAGCTTGCTAACATCAATCCTTTGGTGGCGGTCACTTCGTTGTCCACTGAAAAGTAAGGTAAGATTGGCGCAGACCAGAGCATGGTCAGATTCCAGATAGGTACTCCAAAAGGAGCGGCAGTCTTGTACACAACCACGCCAGCGGTAGCTGATCGCGATGTGATCAATCTGAGTCCAGGCTTGAGATGCAGAAGGAGGACGCCAGGTGGCACATCGGCGATGACTGTGCCGAAAGTTAGTGCTAGCCAGAAACAGGTTGTGGTCTGTGCATAGTTGCAGTAGACGTTCCCCGTTATCTGTCCTGCGACCAACGAGTCCCCATCGGCCACCTAAACGACTCTCTTCTGTGCCTAGACGCCCGACCTGAGCATTCAAGTCTCCAGCTAGTACTACAATATCTGTCGAACGCACTTTCTGGAGAAGAACAGTTAGCTGATGGTAGAACTCGTCCTTGATTGCATCCGGGCTGCAATCTGTCGGGGCATAGGCGGAGATGACGAAAAGACATCGTTTCTCACGCCGATTTCTTCTCACTTTGATGGAACTTTCTAATCTAACAGCACATAACCGACTGTTAATGGGGATCCAGTCGACTAGTGCTGCCTCAGCTCTTGCGCTTAGTGCGACACCAACGCCAGCAAGACCAGACGAAGATGCCACAGGGTCCCCGGATAAACGCACATAAAACAAGCTTTTTGAAGTGACAGATGGAGAGCGAACTTGTAGTACTTCACCAGAGTCTTGAATACGGGTCTCGGATAGACAACACACATCAATATTAAGACTTTCCAAAGACATAGCCAGTCCTATCTGTTGTCCGACCTGCATAAGTGTGCGAACGTTGAAGGTAGCCAGTTTGAATGGTGCACGCGGTTTCAGAAAAACTGCTTCAGTACTCATGTTCGGTAGTAACATACAATTTTCAACCAGGCAGTGACTCGGGAACGTTTAGATAAAGCTGAATTTTCACCATAGGTGAGCTGCTGTCTAGGTCGAAACGCATATATAAAGTAGGAATAAGAGAGGGTGAATAAATGACGTGGTAGAGTAATAATAATAATAATAATAACAATAATGATAATAATAACAGTACGAGTCATTTCAATGTTAATCAGATAGAAAGGAATATTTTCCATAAGCGAATTGTTCATC